ATTTTTTGTTAGATCAATAGAAAAAGAGCCTAGTAAATGTGTCCCAATCTGCTTTCTTAAATTTAAAAATTTGACGTCCTTCATCTGGTATAGAGTCATTTGATGTAAGTAACAATGGACAATGATCACTGCCGTACTGGTCATCTAAAACTTTCCAATCGAAGTCCAAGTATATAGCAGAGTGGACAATCGAGAGGTCGATGCAAGAAAACGTACCTGTAGCTGGATGTAAATATGTAGGTGACCGATTGTTTAATAAACAAAGCTGAAAGTTATCTATCAATTTTTCAGTTATATTACCCTTATTATTTGTAGATGTACTGCCCCACATAGGATTGTGAGCATTAAAGTCGCCTAACAAAAGGAAAGGTGATGGTAATTGCCGAACAATACTTTCAAGTTCATCACTTGTTACCGTTAAATTTGAAGGAAGGTATAAAGAACAAATTGTTAGTGGTCGATGTAAGGTCACCTGCACAGCTAAAGCTTGTAATCTTGTGTTTAGTTTTAATTCTTTTTGAGGAATGCAATTTGCGATAGCAATGCTTGTACCACCTGATGTTCTGGCGTTACTAGTGCATATATAATTATAAAGTGTATAATCTTTTATAGAGATATTATCTTTAGGAGATAACATAGTCTCCTGAAGACATAATACATTTGGAGAGAATTTTGATAATAGTAAAAGTAGATCATTATAATTTGACTTAAGACCTCGGCAATTCCATTGTAGGATAGAATGACTTCTATTATCCATTTTAAAGAATATTTATATCATTTAGGAAACTTTATTGGACTTCTGCTATTCGGAGTTGGAGGAGGGGAGAGGTATAGATCCTCATCCTCCATCAATTGGGTGTCGTTTTGGTCCTTGTGATTCAACAAGCTTTCGTGCATCTTGAAAGGAAATATTTTGCGTATACTTCTGACGAAGAATTTCTTTTTCCTTTAACCACAAGGGGCATGACCGGGAGGTGGCGTAATGCTCTCCTCCACAATTTGCACATTTAACAGGAACGTTACAAGTCTCATTTTTGTCATGGTTTGAGCTACATCTGCGGCAAATAGTCTGCCTAACGCAATTTGATTCATGATGACCAAATTTGAAGCATTTGTAACATTGCATTGGGTTTGGAATGTAAACCGCAACGCGAACGTTAAGGTAACCTACTCGTATCGATGATGGGAGAATGGGTGTGGAGAATGTTAGAATAAGGCTATTCGTTGGCAGTCGTTTACCATCTCTTGTAGACTGAATGCGCTTGACATTTGACACCTGCTGTGATTTTAACTCTTCAGCAATATCTGCTTCTAGCATTCCAGCAAGGTCAGAACATCTGAATGACGCCCTTGCTGGAGTTTAGAGACTGGTGTGGTGTGGCAGTTGTGTCAATGTTAAAAAGCTGTACATTTTCAGAATAATGTCTGATTGTTGTTTCCGCTCTACCTCTATCAAGAGTCCTCCATTGCGGAGTTTCTTGACAGATTTAGGTGTTCCAATTAAAGCCGAAAGTTGTTTTTCTATAATGAAGGGGCTAAGTTCAGTAAGTGATTTGGAGCCGTTTGATTTGATAATCAGAGAACGGGGAAAAAATCCATGAAATGTTACAATTTGAATCCTCTTGCGATTTTCGTTTTTCTGTTTGTATATCCATAATGAAAATATCAAAATTCGTCTTCCGGGTTTCCCAGCCACCTCGGACTCCAACATGGGGATGTGCGATGGAGACGGATATCCAGTCTCCGCACATCAAGGATACCAGAGAGATATACTCGCATAAATTGCAAATATTTACAACCTACACAATTAGCCCATTAGCCACCGCCTTCTTGGATATGTTATACTGTATTTATAATGCATATATGAAATATTGTTTTAACATAACGGCACCCATCATGGCAGTTCAGTAGGAATTAAAGGTATACTAGAAACACAAATAGGAATAAAAATTTAAACTCAGATTTTTTTTATTTTAAATAATTTGTGTGCATTGAATTGTATTAATTTCGGGACCGTGTAAGTTCAATGAAATTTTCAAGTATTTAAGAAAATATATATCCAAGGGCAAGGCATGACCAGCCGATTGGCCAAAGCCGGGCTCACTTGGTCACCCGTCTACCCTAAAGCAGAGGCCAAAGCAGTGTGTTAGGAGTACTGGAGATCCCTGGGTATCCTTCAACTACCAGGACCCTCTTTTCTAGGTTACGGGACGCTGCCCACGGCAAACAGGCAGTCTGGGTGTTGGCCATATGTCCGTCATACAGGTGCACAGCAGCGCACCCCCATAACGGACATATGTTACTCCTCCTCACCACGTAGAGGTACCCAAAAGAGGAGGCACTTGTATAGGTTAGAATTGACACTTTAAAAACTTAAAGAAGCAAACAAATGTTTCTTATTTCAGATAAAAGTAAATTTCTTAGGTCACACTGTATCAGAAGGAGTTAAAACATAACCAAACAAGATAGAGGCAATAACAAAATGGCCAGTAACGAAAACTGTGACAGAACAAGAGCTTTTCTAGGAACAGCTGGATATTATCGTTCATTTATCAAATCCTTTGCTCAAATTGCACGCATTTTACACAAATTGACTGGCAAAGATGCTCCTTTAATTTGGACGGATGAAAGCATGCGAGCATTTCTTAAATTAAAAGAGGCTATAACAACAGCTCCCATTCTAGGTTATCCAAATACTAAAGGCAAGGACATTATAGATTCCGACGCAAGCTCAACTGCGATTGGAGCAGTATGCTCACAAATACAGAACAATGTAGATAAAGTACGTAATAGGCTATTTTAGTAAAACACTGAACAAACATGAGGTCAAATATTGTATAACTAGAAGAGAACTGCTTGCAGTTGTAAAAGCTGTTAAATATTTTCATCACTATGTGTATGGTGTGTCTTTTAAGATAAGAACAGCCCATGCAGCTATAACCTGGCTCATGAATATGGAGTTATCAAGCGGTCAATTAGCCAGATTGCTAGAAAAATTAGGTTCATATGATTTTGAAATTTCTCATCGAAGTCGAGCGAAACATGGTAATTGTGATGACCCTGTGACCCTGTAACTACTGTGAAAGACGTGAGCAATCATCAAGAGAAGAGACCAAGAAAGAGAGCTGCAGAAGAATGAAGCATTAAACATTATGACTTCAGTTGAACTAACAGATAGCTGGACAAAACCGATACAGATAGAATAGTTACAACAAGAAGTCAACAATGATCTAGAGCTGAAACTTATGCTACAGTGGAAAATAGAAAATAAAAGACCTGCATGGGCTGAAATTTCACACTTTAATTCAGACGTTAAGAGATACTGGTCACAATGGGATCGTATTGTACTTCATAACAGACTACTATATGGAAAATTGAGTAATATTTGGTACACATTACTGGCAGTTTATAGTACATTAAAACTCCAGAAATAATGTATTATATTTAATACATAACCACAAAACAGCAGCCTATCTTGGCATCACAAAGTCAAAAATTCAAAGATTATTTTATTGGGTTAATTGTAGCAATGATGTAGAACTTTTGTGCAATTCATGTGAAACATGTCAGTCCCGAAAACTTCTACAAACTCGTGCGTGCAAAAACAAGGCTTTTAGCATGAAATAATATCAAGCAGGTCGCCCACTAGAAAGAGTCGGCTTAGATATTTTTGGTACATTACCTACGTCAGATAATAATAGCAGATTCATCCTTGGAGTCGTTGACTTTCTTACAAAATTGGTATAATTGTATCCAATGCCAAACATGTTAGCCACTACTTGTACTGATATTTTTATGTCAGAGTTTATTAGTCGTTTAGGTGTTCCGAAGACAGATAGTAACCGATCAAGGAGACAAATTGAATGTCATTTATTTCAGGAACTCTGCAACAAATTAGGTATAGATATGACAGGCTGTTCACCATTTCATCCCAAACCAATGGCTTGTGTGAAAGAGTTTTTAAAACATTAGCCGATATGTTAGCAAAGATAGTAAAAAACAATCAGCGTGATTGGGATACTCATATGAGCCGTGTCATTACAAAACCAACATAGTGGGTTTGCGTCCAGCTTAGATCCAGACTAGCCTGCGCATCCGCGCAGTCTGATCAGGATCCATGCTGTTCGCTATCATGTTTCTCTACTTGTAATAGGGTTTGTAAGCGAACAACATGGATCCTGATCAGACTGCGCGGATGCGCAGGCTTGTCTGGATCCATGCTGGTCGCAAACACACTATGTTGGTTTTGTCATGACACGGCTCATATACCTTTTCTCCTTTTAGCATATAGAAGTGCTGTACAAGAATCAACAGGGTATTCACCTAGCCGAATGTTACTTTATCATGAACCTATATTACCTACTGACCCAGTTTTTGGTATATGTATACCGATAGAACATTATAAATCACCAAGTCATTATGTGAAGCCCCCAAAAAACAATTATGTACAATATACATGAAATTGCTCGCCGTCATTTAGCGCTCGCATCCAAAAAAAACATTACGATCATCGTGTTCATACGAGTACATACAACATAGGCGATAGTGTATGGTTGACCAATAAAACGCAAGTTAAAGGTAGAACCCCGAAATAAGAACATTGATGGCTAGGCCCATATGTCATAATCGAAAAACTGTCAGACCTCAACTATAAAATTAAATTGAAAAATAAAACTCAGATTGTACACCATAATCGTCTGAAACCAGTTGTTACCAAAATGTAATAAATTTGTTTATATTTATATTATAGGATCAGAGATTGGGACAGATTTTTTTTTAATGGAACTATTACCCGATGGGTGCAAAATGTAATGGGCACAGTTTTAATGGGCACTTGAGCAAAACAAATGGGAATTTTTTGTAACTTGTTTTAGATTTTTAATGTCTTAAACCCTTCACAAATAATCACATACAAACATTATGTCTGATCTAAATTCAATTTTTATTTAACATCTGTTTTTGTTGAAAGAGTTAGCCTTAGGTATTATCTGAATGTCACTTTTTATATATGTATCTGTTGTATTTTCTCTCAACTGATTAGATTTGACTTTCACTTTTTGAATATGCGCCTGTTTTTGTTCTGTTTCCACAGCCGTAAGACTTCCTGGAAGTTTAATTCTTCAGTAGCAAGGCGGATTTTCAGAAGTTTATCCAGGTTGTCAGCAGACAGCTTGCATCTGCAAAAATACAAAATTGTAATACTTTTCTGTCATTGTGGCCACTAAACAAACACTTTTAAGCAGAGCTGAGGGCTGTAAAAGAAAAACTCAGCAGTTGTACCAATAAACATTAATTTATATAATTTTGTGTTCTTTATTATAATGTAAAATATACAATAAAATATATTAAAAAATAAAATGCATTTCTTTAACTTTTAGTCTGCTGTTGGAAAATTTCTTTGGGTTTGGCAGCCAATACAGACCAGGCAACCTGCATATCTGAGCAGTCTGGTTATAGTCTGCACTGTATGATATTCAGTCAGTAGAATTTTAGTCCAGGCCAATTTAAGACCTGGTAGGTCTAATTGAAAGACAAGTCCATTGTAGAAATTAAACTTACCTGTGTTTAGTTATGATTTTGTTCTGCTGTGAAAAGACTCTCTCACAGTCAGCTGTATGTAGAGGAAGAACAGCTGCAAACTGAGCCAGCTTAATCATGTTAGGTACTTCTTTAGCATGACTTTCTGTCAGGAGACGCCAAAGAACCTTGAAACTATCAACAGGATACTTAAGGGACCGCACAATTTCCTTCACCAGACGCCATTCCTTTCGAACTATATCTTTGTTAAGAAGTGCTGGAGATGTCACATCACCATAAGTCTAAAAACAGATTGTATTTATAAGAACCTTATCAGTGATTTCTGCAGCCTTTCCTCCTTTAATTTACTGATACATACTGTTACATGAAGTTGTATTTTTTAATTGACCAGTCTTAATTTTCATACTGCAAAGAAACTGTTCCTGACATTAAAATAATTGAAAGAAAATTTGTGTACTATTTTATCAATCATTTTGAAAAAACAAAACAAAATTCTTAATATAGAATAATTTACCTTTTCTTCACCAAAATGATTTAATAAAAGTTCAATCTCAGAGTCTCCAAAGTTGGGATCACTGTCAACATTAATAGTTCTCAAACACAACACAAAGAAGGCATCAAGTAGTTGCTTTTGTGGAAACCTGCAGTAGAAAGTGTTAGTACTGTAATTTACTGTAAGTAACTGATACCATAGATACTGAACCAATGTTTTTAAAACCTTTCACTTCAGACCAGTGATTCACTGTGAATAAACAAAAAAACTGCATGTGCACACTACACATTGCTTTGATTTATAATCATACTAATTTGTGCACACTCTTTCAGGTTGCCTTGAAATACTACAAGTACTGTTACTGTATACTTTAAATACAAAATTTACATTTATTTTTTTAGAAGAAAACTTTTTGGTGCTATTTAATTTTTTCCCATACCTTTTATTAATATTATTCAGAAGAGAGTCCAGAAATTTCTTTTTTATGCCATCTAGGTTTAATGTAGAATTGGTCAACAAATGTCCCTTGTATTCAAAGCGCCCATCAACCTGGACTACATCACTGGAGTACTTCTCTATGTGAGTGCTGTACAACTGCCTGCCTTCCATCAAAGCTGTTAAGTCTCCTACACAACCATTCAAGGCAACCTGAAAGAGTGTGCACAAATTAGTATGATTATAAATCAAAGCAATGTCAATTGTTCTTTAAATGTAAATATGATTTATGACAAATTATTAATGATACTGGAAGACTGGTACATGTACACTTAAGCAATTGACTTTTTAGCAAACTACCAGTACCTGAAATTACAGTATTACTATGAATGATACAGGTATATAAGTTAACTAACAAACCTTTGCCTGTCCAATGTCTAGGCTCTTTTCCTGGTATTTCAAACACAGCTTCATGACTATAGGTAAGACATCCATCATTAAGTATGTTATGTACACAAATTGTGTGGAAGCCATTTTTTTAAGAAGCCCCTTTGATTTAGGATCTTTGGCAGCAACCCTCTGATGCAGATATGACAACAATGGATCAATAGTTCTGTATAGCGCTTCGACCGCCTCATAGCAAGAAAGCCATCTGACTGCATGTATTTCTTTGTATTTCAATACCGGATGGTTGAGAATAGCCTGTACTTGATGAAGTTCCTGTTCACGGGATGGAGAAGCCTTGAAATAGTAGAACAGGTTTGTCAAGAAACGTTGATACTCGCAGATGTTGGGCACAGATTCAGCAGCCTGACTTGTGCACAGAGCAAGGCGATGAGCCATGCAGTGTATGTGAATCATGTGCGGTTGCTTTCGTAGAAGTATGCCTTTGACTCCCCTGTCAGACCCTGTCATTACACTGGCACCGTCCGAGCCAAAACCTAGTATCTTGTCAAATGAAATGTTCCGTCTGTAAAATTCATCCACAATTACACTTGCAAGGCCCACACCAGTGCCATCTTCATATTCCACATTTCTTAAATAGATAGTATTGGGACAAGAAGTTTCAGGATCAATTACCACAGCATTAATGGTCATTCTTTTCTTATTTGCTATATCAGTACTTTCGTCTGCAAGAACCGCCACACATGGCGACTGATGCAACTTTTGATTAATTATACAGTCTAGATGGTCTCCGATTGCTGATAGAATCTCATTTGCAGTATAATAGCTCTTGTAATTCACCTTTTCTGAACATTCAAGTGCTTCAAGACCAGGTACATCAACAGAGTTTAAAAAGTTTACAAGACTCTCAAACTTTGACAATGGCAAGTTTTCCTTTGCCAGCCAAACAACAGTTTTAATCATTTTTACCATTGCCTCATCTTCCTTCGAAAAGGCTTTACTTACTGCTAATTGAAAGTTTTCTGCAAGTGATGGGGTTGCTACTGACTGAATATGGTCATCAATTACTTCATGTCGGTACAGTGTACTTGTGCGGAAATGTGTGCATCCTTTAGTCAGAGAGTTGTTTTTCCCATTAATTTTACAATACTTGCAAAACATTTTGCCATCTTCTTGATATAACCATGGATAGCTTTTGACCCAACGATCCCAACATTTTTTGTCAGTGATTACTGTGCCCGAATTTTGATCATCCGAAACTAGATCGTCTTTATGACTTTCTGTGGATTTTAATGGTGTGGCCACAAGAATATCTTTTGGGTCAACTGGATTGTTGTTACCGTCAGTCTTACTTACGAAATGAAACAAATTCAACTGATTTTTCTCGAATCTAAATATTTTCTTCGGCGGCATATTGATAAACAAGTAGGTTAGCAGCCGAAAGAAGCCGAAAGAAGTGCAAAGGGATCAGCCGAGAATAGTCACTTTAAAAAAAATATTATTACGGAGACGCATTTTATCCGTTTCGTACTAAAATCGATGTCAAAAATTATCAAGACATTTAAATTTGTTAACATTTATTTTTATTAAGAAACAGAGTTATGATAAATCATAAAAAGAAATCAACTACACATATTGATCCCTACGCTGAAGACTGGTACACATGATATTGTTTAATATCAGCCCTCGTGTTTACGTATAAAATTAACCAGTCAACAGGGGAAGTAACTCTTAATGACCGAATGTTATTATTTGTTTACCGAGCGACGATTTATTTCGTATGCGTACCTACAGCGCATTTGCTCAAAATTTTATGCGCAGTTTTCAGTTTTAATGGGAATATTACGCACTGCGCACCCTTATCCTAATCTCTGTAGGATGTTATCTTCAGCTCCTCAATCAAATAACAAATTGCCATTAAAGGAATACCTTCTGTGTGCATATGTGTGTAGAGAGTGCTGCATCGGATATGACAGAGAAGACCAATACAAAATACATAGAGAGGATAGGCATGAGACTTTTGTCATGTGTAGGTATAAGTGTGGTGTGACATTCCCTGTCTGTAGGCCGAGTTATTTGAAACGACACGAAGAAACATGCAAAAGAGGCGAAAGAAAACAGAAGATTCAAAATAAAGAAAAAAGGGGAAGAACAAAGAATAGAATGACTCCTTACCACAAATGTATCAACAACAAATCCACAACAAAGTATTAAAAATAAATCAAAATCAAAACGTCACATCAGTTCAAGAAAAGAATAAAGATACATCCTGTTTCCACACCTCACATCCAGCAAAACAAAGTAAGCAATATATCAACAACATCTTTATGTCAACAAACACAGAAATCTAATAATCATTTCGAACAGGACTTACTGTCACCACCAGATTTTGGTATCTTACTTAAAGAAGATGCAGACAAACCATTTGATCACAGTGAAACAAACATGCCAACATACAGCACTTCAATCAATAGTATTAAACCATTTGAGAATCCGCTAGCTATCAATACAACTACAACATTAAACAACAACAACAACACAGAAAATGATGAAATAAATGAATATACGGTAACAGATGAAATGTACATAATGAACTAGAAGAAAATTTAAAGGACATTAGTGAATTTCAAAAGCAACAAATGGAAAAAACTAAACCTACAGGAAAAGAAAATTAAAGAACAAGAAACTGAACAAGAAACACAAGACATACTCAAGAGACACATTGAATTTAAAGAAGGGTGAAAACAATTGAAATGCCAAGAAGAAAAAATATTGAAAGAAAAACAAAAAGAAAAACAACGATTGAAACAACAACAACTTAAGGATTGAATTGAAAGAAAACAACAAACAGCAGAAACAATAAAAACAACAGAAACAACCACAGAAACAACAATAGAAACAACAACAGGAATGACAACACATGATAACCGCCTTATAAGAATGAAAGACATACCGCTTAAACTTCAAACAGATACCATCATGCATGAGTCAAGAACTTACCTTAAAGGTGCTCCCTCAGCGTATATCAACACACCAAATGCTCAATTAATATGAAATCACAGAATAAATGCATTACAATTTGCCGTAGATAAAGGAACAATAAATTACACATACAAAGGGAGCACCGTAATAAAGAAAGAATCCGTAATACTAGAATCAGGAGATCAATATATGCTAGAAACATTTATCACACCGAAACCTATGTAATACTACTTGCAACCAAAATCAACGCAAACCTGCAATGTTGTCTGTGAGCACTGTGGCAGATACCCATTTGAAGAAGAAACGGATAAACATGACTATTTCATTAATTAATAACAGAAAGAATATTATTGAACCTTTAGAAGAACTTAAGTAAAAAAAAACATGAACAGAAAGAACATTATTAAACATTCATGAACAGTGATAGTATGGGATTATTTATATACTATGAACAGTAAAAGTGTTTGATTATTTATAAACTATGAACAGTGAAAGTGTGTGATTATTCATTAACTATGAACAGTGATAGTGTGGGATTATTTATGAACTATAAAACAGTGATAGTGTTTTTTTATCAAATGATATTCTTTTTTTTCTGCTATGGATAATAATGACTTCACTGAATTGATAGTAAACTGAATGAACAGTTAAAAAGTGATCAGTGCATAAATGAAAATATTATTTTATGTAAAGTTAAAGAGTTAAATAATTGTTACGTATTGTTAAGATTTTAATTGTTTCACAATTCTAAAGTTTAAAATCAAAAGTTAATATTCTTATATGATATTTGTTAAACATATGGAAAAAGGTGCTTATTTTATTAAATGTCTATTGTATAACTTGTATGAATATCTTGTAAAATTGTATAATGTTATTGACTACTAGTTCAAAATTCTGGAAACAAAGTGATCCCTCGGAAGCATTAATCACAACAAAATAACATAAGAATTGCAGACTCGGTTTGATTGAGTCTGTACATGAGGGATAATGAATAAGTGCAACATCCCTCACGCCCCCTAGCACCGGCTTGAGCGGTACTCAATTCTCAACATTTTATAGTGTTGGCATCAATGATCCCGAAGGACCAGAAAATATAACAACACTGAAGTGAAGTACGGGGCAACTTTTTACGGCTAGTTCGCGGACGAACTAATTATTTTGTGGGGGGAGCAGTGTGACATCTGAGGGTTCATGTTTCTATGCAATACTTTAATTATACAATTTCTACGACATCAATTACGGTTATTTTTATGGAATTATTTTCGATCTATTTTTGTATACATGAAACGTTCAACATGGGAATTAATATTATCTATAGTAAGTATTCATTGAAACTTTTTATTAAACACTGCTGCTGATGACTGTCATCGCGTTGAATGGATGTATTTTGCTGATTTCATGTCTGTTGACAACATTTAACTATCATTTTTGTCTTTGTTTTGTTTGCGCATGCGTTTATGTGCATCAGCTCTGTCCCGGCTCCCTAACATGCATTGTACATGTATATCGGCTCATCTCCGGCTCCTCTACATATACTGCGCATGAGCACCGGCTCGGACACGGTGACTGCACATGCGCGCTATCGGCTCGGAACGCCTTAAGTTAGCTCCGAGCAGTCGTCTTCTACATTTTCTTCTGAGCACAAGCATTGTCTCATTTCTCTTAGAAAATTGTCTTTAATAATTAAAATTCTGAATTTCAGGTAAATGTAATCAAATTATACCACATTTCAATAGTTTAGATCTTTACGTAAATTTTTATGTCCAGGTTTTTAGAACATTTATTCCAAAATATTCAACTTCTTAACTCTTGTTTTTATTTCGAGGTCTGACAGTCCGCGTGGTAGTCAAATTTTTAATATTATTGATAAATTGTTGCACCTTAAAATTCTTAATATAATTGTTAATTGAATAAATTATTTTAACTGTTTATCGATAGTGTAAACTACGACTCCTCAGCCGGTGACATTTATTGTTATTCACCGTCATCAACCATAGAAAGACAAGACTTTGTGTCTTCGTCTGAATTTCAACATCAGCAATCATCACTCGAGATCATAGAACAACAAAGAGAACAACATAAAACATCAGCCTTGATTAAAATAAGTCCGCTACCATTTAGAGAGATTTTTTCCCGCCCATTTGCCGTCTAGTGACGGCCAACGGTCTAGAGACGGCCAACGCAGAGACCGTCTAGTGACGGCCAACGCAAGTACAACATTGAAATTCAAATAAACAACAAGATTGCATTTGTAAAAAATGCCATGTCATCGCATAAATACAACACTAAATAGTAATGTAGGAACACATTTTTTTGTTTCTATACAGATTGCCATAATGCATAGATCACTTACCTATCTGTTATTATCAGATTAGTACCTTCAGACAATAAGATTTTTAATTTCTTACTTTATGACATAGTGACTGAAAATCAATGATCCCCAGGGGCGGGGCCAATTTTGACCCTAGGGCTTTAATTTGAATAATCTTGCTAGAGGTTCACAACAAAATGTTTAATGCAAAATGTCTAACCTCCAGCCTTTGTCAATTAGAGAAGATGATTTTCCAAAGTTATTACTATATACATGTAAGGAAAACCTATGACCCCGGGGCGGGGCTAGTTTTGACACTAGAGGCAAAATTTGAAAAACTTTGGTAGAGTACCTATAGATGATTAAAGCCTTGTACCTTTAGACATTTTAAATATTTTACTATATGTACATAGTGAAAATCAATGACCCCAGGGGGTGGGGCCAATTTTGACCCCAGAACTATTATTTGTATAATCTTGCTAGAGGTACACTTCACAATGTTTCATGCAAAATATCTAACCTCTAGCCTTTGTCAATTTAGAGAAGTTGATTTTTTAAGTTTTTACTATATATACATAATAGGAAAACCTATGACCCCCGGGGCGGGGCTAAATTGACACTAGAGGCAAAATTTGAACAACTTTGGTAGAGTACCTCTAGATGATATCATATTACAAATATCAAAGCTCTAAGCCTTGTACCTTCAGACAATAAGATTTTTTTGATTTTTCACTACATGTACATATTGAAAATCAATGACGCCCGGGGCGGGGCCAATTTTTACCCCAGGGCTATAATTTGTACAATCTTGCTAAAGGTTTACTATACAATGTTTCATGCAAAATATCTAACCTCTAGCCTTTGTGAATTAAGAAGATTTTTTAAGTTTTTACTATATACATATAAGGAAAACCTATGACCCCCGGGGTGGGGCTGATTTTGACACTAAAGGCAAGATTTGAACAACTTTGGTAGAGTACCTATAGATAATAACACATACAAAATATCAAATCTCTAAGCCTTGTACCTTCAGACAAGAAGGTATTTTAAGTTTTACTTTATGTACATATAGTGAAAATCAATGACCCCCGGGATGGGGCCGATTTGGACCCCAGGGCTT